CGTATGGGGAGGCTATTGATATGGAGGCTTAATACATGTGTAGAGGCTCGATACGGAGAATCGATACGTATGGGGGGAGGTGATTGATACAGAGGCTGGGGTTGGGGTCACTAGGAGAGTGCCTTCAGGATCTTTGGGATCCACGGGGCTTGGCTGTGGCGGGGGAGAACGGGTGGCGGTGGGCTTCCCTAAAGCCGTCCATCTGGCTGTCTGTGTGGCTGGCTGGCTTGGTCGGTGGGATGGTCTGGCTGGGGCCCAAGTGTGGGCCTCTGGAATGGTGTGAGCCGCGCCTTCGACCCCCCCTCGGACGCCCGCGCAAAGGTTGAAATTACCACATTGTTCTGTGGCTAGTGGGCCAGGTACACAGAGTACACACTTTGCCATGAGATGTTGATAGATTTCACCTTTCCCTACTGGTCGTATGCCCAGCTGCTTGTCAAGGGCCACAAGTCTGCAAGCCATAAACGCTCTGTAGGCTGCCCATGGAGGATGATCATTTGCAAGCCAATTTGTGAGGGGTACGAATTCCTCCCTCAAACCCGCTGAGCATTTGCCATACTGTAAGAGCCAGGATTTCAGTTCCTTGCCATCGGTTCCGCCGGGACCTGCTGCTCCAGACAGTTTAGAGGCCACGGTCTCGACAATGTCCTGGGTAATGCACATTGGCATGGCCTTTGGGAGGGTGGGGTAGGGTTCGAAGACGCCTTCCTCTGATCCCAGTTGCTTTGATTTCAGGACCTCCAGCTTGGGTCTTCCAGTCTTGGTGCACTGGTCAGTTGGGTGGAGGATTCCACCGCCGTCTCGATTGGTGAGATTTCTACAGGCGGCTTGGACTCTGCCTGAAGTGAGTTTGGCATGGAATGCTCAAAAAGCTTCCTTGTCAATCTTCTCAGGGATTGGTCCATCGCGGAGCCGTGCTTGTGCCAAGAAATTGTCCATGAGTGGGGCGAACTTGCCATCCATCCAGTGATCAAGGCGTGATCAGAGGAGGTCGTGAATGTCCCTGGCCTTTTTCACACCGTCCGCCTCCTGGAGCATTAGAATGACAAAAACCAGAGGCCGTTTGGAATTGTGGTTTTGGTCTTGGACCCTTTCCAATTCCGCTGTTAACTTCAGGAGAAACCCTTTGCCAACACTGTTCTGTGGAACCAGATAATGCTGGGGCCTGACATTGACAACTCAGAGCCATCGGTGACGCCAGGTGGCATTGTCATATTTGCGCAAGGTCAGGTGAGTCCCAGGGTTGTCATGAATGTGATCGCCATATACTTTGTCAAGCTTTGTACCCACGGCAGTGAGTTTGTATCCAGGGAGGTCTCCTGCTGGGTTGGTGGCGGGCGCCACAAGACGCAGGAGATCTGTCGCCGGAGGTGGCGAGGGTGCCCGCCGAGGAGTGTGCGAGGAGCGTGGGGTTTCCATTGCTCGTGCATGCCTGGCTGCAGAAATTGCTTTGACCTCCTTGAGCGTCTTGCCATCGGCATCCGGATGGTATGGGGCTTTGTGCCGTTTCATGCAAACCGGATGCTTAGCTTTCTTCTGTGCGTTGCCTCTCAAGTCGATTTGGACCTTCTGAGGTGCGACTGGAGGTGCGGTGGAGGTTGATGCCAGGCAAGCTGATGAAGCTGCATTATTTGCAGCTGTGGGAGTCTTCAACGCCGGACAGGTTGATGAATCTGCACACTCTCCAGCCTCATTTGGAGGAGTTTTCAAAGACAAGGAAGCAGTGTGATTTGCATTATTCGCGTTCGGAGCGTCACACACTTACCATCACACATTCACCGTCAGCACGCATTCACTGTCACACATTCACTGTCACACATTCACCATCACACACTCACCGTCACACACTCAAAGATATACACTCACCAACAAACACTCACCATCACACACTCACCAATACGCACTACTAACCATCGTACACTCACTGTCAAACACTCACCATTGCACCCTCACTGTCACACCCTCACTGTCACTTACTGACTGATACACACTCATCCATACACAATCACCACCGTCACACACTCATTTATACACTCTCATTGTCACACACTCACGGTCACACACTCACCATCACACACTCATCGTCACACAATCAACGATACACACTCACTGTCATAGAATCACTGATACACACTCGCCGATACACACTAACCAATGCACACTCAACAATACAAGCTCACCATCACAAAATCACTGATACACACTCACCTATGCACACTCAACAGTACACACTAACTGATACCCACTCATCGTTACACACTCACTGATACATGATCACTGATACAAGCTCACTGATACAAGCTCACTGAAACACGCTCACTGATACAACAAACTCACTGTAATACTCCTACTGTTACACACTCACCATCCCACACTCACCCATACACACTTACCAATACACAATCAACCATACACACTCACTCATACACACTCACTGTCACACACTCACTGTCACACACTCACTGTCACAGAATCACTGATACACACTCACCATTGAACACTCACTGATTCACAATTACTGATACACATTCACCATCACACACACTCACCGCCGTCACACACTCACTACTACTACTAGTAGTGCTACTACTACTACTATGATTCAATTGCTGTGAGTGATTTTTACATGTATGTGAAGCATCGATTCTCCTTCCTACGAAAGCCTGATTTCATCACTCCGTGCTTTTTGTCACCATTTTTTATGGTGATTTCCAACCATGTTCGATACCGGTATTGGTACCGGTATGGATGCCCAATATCACCACTCTGTGCTTTTTGTTAGCATTTTTAGTGTGATTTCCAACCACACACCCCATATGGAGAAAAAGTCTTCTTATCTTCCTCATTTGCGGTTCTCGTCAGTATCAGGGATGTTCATCATTTACTATTGCTACTAGGCAATACTCTGGCAATAGGAATGGTAACTTGCTGGCGCTCTAAACATAGCATTCATTCACGACATGTATTTTCAAGAGGACTGAAAATTTGGGTAGGGGGATCAGAGAATCTAATTAATACCAAACTTTTTTTATGGTTAAATGGTAGCTACCAGAATTGCTACCAGATTGCTACAAGATGGTAGCAATTCTGGTAGCAATCTGGTAGCAATTCTGGTAGCTACCTTTCTTAGAGGTTCCCAGGACTGCAACGCATATTTAAATACTACCCGGGATTGATATCAAAGCTGCTCCTAGTACTCGCACGAGGAGCAAAATCGATCTATTTGGACATATGTAGTACAAAAGCTGTGTAGAAACCCCTGTACCCTTGCCATTTTGCTCAAAATAGAAGGGTTTTGATTCCGTGTTCAAAATCCTACTGTGTCCTAGTGTCTTCACGTAACGAGCAAAAATTCTTCTATTTATGCTCAACTTTTATGTGAATTAGAAGCAATTGTTTACCACGAACGTTAACAGAACATTCTAGAATCTGGTAGAATTTACTTCGTATGGTAGCAATCGTGGAAAATTACCAGTTACGATAACTCCTACCAGAGTGTCTCACGTGGAGTCTACTAATTCCATTCCAGTACCGGGTCTAGGAGCACAGGTACGAGGTAAAATCTTCATTGATGATCGTCCCAGGTTTGCGCCACCAAAAATTAAAGCCTTACCGTATACTAAGTAGTTTCAAGGAACATCACATAAGCGATAGCGAAAAGATGAACATCTTGAATGTAGAAATCAACCAGTATCAGTATCAGTATCAGTATCAATATCAATATAAGTATTACTATCATTCTCGAGACATGGTTTTTGTCTTAGGACATAGGAGCATAGATAAATCAGATTTCTGGATGCTTAAAAAGATTATTTCATCAACCTCAACAGCACCGAAGCATCGAAAACACGATAACACGATGCCACGCTTTCCTCCCATCCTTCTTCCAGCACGTCATGATTGGCAGAAATCAACCACAACCGGATGACGTCAACAGCACCGAAGCCATCCTTCTTCCAGAACTTCATGATTGAAACAGTATAAGATCTTGCAGAAATCAACCACAAACGGATGACGTCAATAGCACCGAAGCCATCCTTCTTCCAGCACTTCATGATTGAATCAGTAAGATCTTG